CCACCAACAGCGACGCCACAACGAGCCGCGGCCACCACGTCCCGAGGGAAACCAGGAGGGACGACCAGCGGCGAAAAGCACTCCGTCTTCAGGGCCTCTAAGAGGCCCTGTCGGGACGAAAGAGCAGAGCACAGATGGCACCTGAAACGGGACCCGACAGGAATAAATCTGTGAGAGCTGGCCCTGGCCGCGTGCTCGAGGCGTCGGGTCTCGGCGGTCTTCGGCCTAGGCCGCTCGATCTCCGTCGGGGCCTTGGTACGCTTGGGGTCCGCCGAAGAGGCGTCCGCCAAAGCTCGCCGAGCCCTTCGACGCACCAGGGCAGCGGTGAGGTCCCAGGCGTCTGTGGCGGGGACAACCTGGGCGGCCAAAGTCCAGGATCGTTCAGCGGCTTCAGAAGCCGCTTCGTCGGCTAACTGATTACCACTGGCAAGAAAAACTTCGTGATGGGAGAGAGAGGAGTCGTCAGGGGACAGGTGCGAGGGCGTCCATTCGACCGAGACGTGCCCTGGGCCTCGGTCGTCGATGGCGCAGCGAATTCGCAGCCACAAATCGCTGTTCCTCCCCCCCCAAGCTCCAAGGTCGGCCCCGACTCCACCCCGTCATGAGAGGCTTGTGGTCCGTCACAAAATGGACAGGACCAGTAGTGCTTTCCAGAAAAAGAGCGAAAGCCTGTAGCTCCGACCTGGGCACCGTTTGCGAGGGGCCTCGCAAAATCTCGGAGATGCCCCCCAAGACGGCCCAACGCAAAGGTCCCTCCCCAGGTCTCGCGTCCCTGACCACAACTACAGCGGAGCCACAACGACGGCGACGAGGGTCGGACGAAAAGCGTCCTCCAGATCAGCCCCCGAAGCCGACCAACGGGCTGCTGCCAGGGTCTCTAGAGCAGGCTCCAAGAGGGACCTCACCAAGTTGGGCTCTGCTTAGGCTCTCCAACGGCTCCCTGAAAACAGGGTGGGTGACACGGGTAGGCGGAACACCTCTCAGCCAAAGGCTTGGTTCAGATTCAACAGACGCTAACGCTTGCGGAATCAAATGATCAGTAGACGTGAAATCACTGTGATCTTTATTGCAGGGGCACTGCCAGATGCGATGCGCAAGAGTTTCTTCCTCCTGCTGGCATCGCGGACACAGGCGGTCAGCGGCCTCACTCAGAGGGTGCTGCCTGTCCATCGTCCACTGGGCGCCCGTGACCACGCACAAGTTGAGACCGAACAGGTCGAGCTCCCCCTTCTTGGCGAAGCGGCTGAGCTCCAGCCTGGCCCAATAGAGGTCCGCTCCCTCAGCCAGGCCATCACCTGCCATGTGCTTCGACGCATTGCTCCAAAGCTGAGCGCGAAAATCAGTGACCACGTCGTCCAGCAGCTCGGAGATGTCGACCCAGTGGGGTCGTAGCCTGCACGTCGTGCTGTTGGGATCAGCCACTCCTCGATTCCTCCGCCAGTGGGCCTCCTCCAACGTAGAACTGAGGGTACTTCCCATCCCGCGTCAAGCAAAGTCGCAATAACAGCTCCAATCGGTCCTCTGACCAGTCTCCATCTTTTGTTGGCGCCAACTGCGAGAAGCCGCCGATGAATAACAGTCCAAGCATTTTCAACTCGATGGTGGATGCTGGTGTCGGTCTTCCAGAGACAGAGAAATTCTGAAAGAAGGCCTCGTCGTAACTCCAGGGCTGGATCCTTGAGACCGTAAAGGACCGCCAGTGTTGTCGTAAGACACCTGCCCTTCATGGGCCCAGCTCCAGCCAAGGCTGCCTGCCGCCTGACGGCGAGGACGTTGGACGGTGACATGCCATGGGCCTGGTGCCCGTAGGAGCCTTGAGGAGCTGCGCCTGTGGTCCAAAGACCCTGAGCTTCACGCCGTAGAGGAGCATGTCTGCGTATGCGGGCAATGCGAGCCGCCCTCTTCCTGCTGGCAACCAACCTCATTCTGGCCTTAGCGACTGTGCGCCGTTTGCCAGAGGCTGCGTCGATGCCGAGATCCGTGCCGTGAAGACCGAACCGTACAGGGATACCCCGCTTCTGCAATTGAGCGGCTGTCCTCCTCCCGTCCTGCGGAACGGTGGCAATGAGCACAGACTTGTCCGAAAGCTTGAGACGGAATTGCTTGGCGAGGTCGGCCAGCGTGACCGTAGCGTGAAGGATCTCTGTCTGGACCTTGGCCTGCGTGCCCTCTGCGCGGGCCACAGTGTCATCGATGAAGGTCCAGAAGGTGCTGAAACTCGCTCTGCGATGTGCCGCCTCCATCAATGGATGTAAAAACAACTTGGCAATCCTTACCCCATGCGGGGATCCTGCAACAAGTGACCTGGTGGCGTAGATGGCGTCTGTAACGCCAAGAGAGCCACGCAGGAACCGCGGCCCAGCGCACATCTCCAACTCCAGTAACACCACAATCGCTGGGAACTTGAGGTCGAGTGCAGCCTGGCCGATGAGGATCCAGGACAACGAGTCGTAGAACTTCTCGAAGTCCAGGAGGAGGGTCGCCGCCGAGATGCCAAGCGCCACTGCGGATTCATCGAGCAGCGCTCGCAAGAGTCCTGCTCGAAGCGAGCTGCTGCCCGCCACTGCAGTGTCCCAGAAATCAGAGAGCTCCTTAGTCCATGTGGACGTGACGCCTGCTCTCACGCGGGACCATATCTTTGCCGTCTCTGGAAGTAATCCAATGACCCTCTCTCCTCCTTTGGGTTTGGGTAATAATGCTCCAATAGATGCCAAGATCTGAGCAGCCACACTCCATGTTCTTCAATACTGTTGAGAAGCCTGCAGTAATCACACCGACCTTCGAGTGGGAGTCGCTGGATGTCCAGCGGTGTGATGGAGTCCACTCCGCATGCCTTGGTGCCTAAGACCCTGATAACATTGTCCACCTGCTCGATGCTGACTGGATCCAGCTCCTCCTCGCGGCTCTGCGCGTGCAGGCGCTTGAACATGGCGAGGATGTCGGCCTGAGAGTCGACTGGGTCGTGCCAGAGTCTCTCCCAGGTGGATCTGGTATGTTCCATCCTGATAGTTGGGTCTCCAACGACTCGCCCATCCACTAAGGGGTCGGACGAGACCGCCTTGGGTTCCTTCACCAATGAGTGGAGCAGTCCTGGCTTAGACGTCCAAACCCCCTTGGCCCAACGGATGAACGAATGCCGCCTCAAGGTCAAACATCTTGCCTGAGAACGACAGGCCAGCTTCTCAGTTAAGTAAGCAAAATCATCGCGCTCCACCTCAGTGGCGCAAGCAAATGCGCGCGACCAGGAGATCCACCGCTGCTGATTAGCGGTGCCCTCAGAGCCTGGGCCGAAGAAATCCGATGGGTCGAAGCTGCTGGCGTCGTTGGTGTAGCGACCAAGAGCTGCAGTACAAATCGCTATCTGGCGAGGATCCTTGCCATGTCGTAGAAGAGCCATGATTCTTTGCACCAAGGTGAGCACAGTTCCCCACCATTCTCCAGCTCCATCCGTCATGTGCACTCGCCCTGGGGTAGCTCTGGTCTGCATCCATTGTAAAGAAAACCCAGCTGCGCGTGGAGCCCGTTGTCGAAGGTCGAGTTGATGATGAAGTGCGAAAGCACGTTCCACTCCTGAGGACCACCGCGCGTACTGTCTGGTGACGGCACCAAGGCCAAGTGCGTTAATATGGCCCAACAACTCAGACTCGACAACACTGCAACATTGAGAGCTGAGCCTCTCCATGGAGGGCTGCTCTTCCCACAGGTCTGAAGGAATGTGAAAAGAGACCTGGGATCCAGGATCCAACGTGCTCCTTGAGGGGTGTAGTGCATCGTAGTCTTCCAGCAGATCGGGCGGTACGCGTGCCCGTTCTTGCTCTTGCCGTTGGGCTCGAAGTATGGACCTCTTGCTGCTAGGGTCCGAAGCGAGCTTGGGTCTGGCTACCTTAGGAAACGGTTCAGGTAACAAAAGTTTCTGGTACCACCATCTGCGCATGCCATCGTGGACGTCAACCTGCAGTGCACAATGCGTCTTCCACGGGACCTGGGGCTGCGACCGAACTCGGTATCTGGATGATGTTCCGTACTTGGCCATTGCGAAATCAATGAGGGAGCCCTCCTGCCCTTTATCGCACGTGGTGCTGACGTCCGCAGGTAGAATGAGTGTGCCCCCAATTTTATCAGGCCACCCAGATCCTTCCAATGAAGTTGGTGAGATATTCCAGTCGCCAATAACCAACCAAGGGTCTGCAAGCCCATGAAGGAAGGAAGCTAACGCAACCAGCACCTGACGATTTCTGCCAGAAACTCCCAATCCTGGCCAAAGATAAACTGATACCAGGACCAGGTTGCCGGAGGACAAATGCAGGATCATGGCGGCGAACCCGCGCATATGATCAGGTTGGCGTGCAGCCTGCGCATATTGCCGAATGGCCTGCAGCGAGGTGGTAGCCAGGTGCTTCTTGGCCATGACCCATTCACCTCCAAACGAACCTCCTCGTCCTGTTGGAGTGCTCCCTGTGGCGCAGACCTTCCAACCGTCTTTGTCCAGTTCGATCTCCGTCTTGGAGTGGAACGTGGCGGCGGTGACATGGGTCTCCACCAGACAAAACACAGAGTAAGGGGCTGTGTTGACATAACGCTGCGCTTGAGGCCCCCACTCAGTGATGTTACCGTAAAGGATCGAAGAATCTTTCTCGTCGGATATGAGCTTGGAGGGGGCTGGAGCGGCCAAAGCCTGCGCTGCTGGTGCGCTGAGGCCAGCCTCCAGGCCCGTAGGGCCGCCGCAAGCGGCGGCCTGGTCCGCCCTAGCCTCGGAGGGCCTGGCGGTGACGCCAGGTGGAGCGGGGCCTCCCTCCGCCTCGAACGGCGAGTCCTGGTGGAAACGCTCGTTGCCCTCCTCAAACTCCAGATCCTCGAACGGATCAAGCTCAGCGTCGTACAGGTGCGCCGTCGTAACTGAAGGGACAGAGGCCTGCGGTCCCGTAGATGCGCGAGGCGCAGCCCTCGGGGGAGGGCTGTCATTAAGGGCAGCATACGCCAGCCCGCCAAGCGCACCCGTCAGCGAGGCTTGACCCGATGCACCCGAAGAAGTACGAGTGGCCGAAATCCTCACACTCGGAGATGGCGTAGCTCCGCGCGACGCAGAACGCGATGAACGTCTTGCCTGCGGTGCACGTGCCGCCGAGCCTTGAGCCGCGGTCGGCGAACTGCTCACCACCAACGGTGCTGTAGTTGAATCGCTTCCAAAAGCACGCTCCTCATCCGAGTCGAGGAAGAAGTCGACTGGGTAGGGCCAGGGACGCCCGCCGAAACAGGATGCCGACAAAACTCGGCGTGGCGCCCCTCGATCTGCGTT